CTCGGTAGGCGATAAACAGGATGCAAATCGACAGATCTTGTCTCGGAAACGCCTTTTCATGTGCTTTTTTATGCAGACTGACCGTACGGAGCAAGTATTATCACGGGAATGACGGATTTCTGCTTATTCCGATATGCAAATGTTATTCGGATATATCGTATCTGGGTTGATCCTCGCCGATCCCAGATGCGATAATCGTATCTCGATGGTCGCCGCTTGAACCTAGATACGATATGCAAATCGCATTAAATGCCAAATTTCTCAGATCGTATCTGAATAAAAACATCTCTAGTATTAAGAATAATATTTAAAAACTAATCTTATGAACCTTACCCAAATTTCTTACCTTAAAACTCTTTCACAAGCACGGCATGACGATCGATAATCTGGAGTCCCTTTTTGTCCTAAGATCACGGAGAAATGCAGGTCGTAACTGAAAAGTAATAAAGATTGTTTTTGGAAATCTATTCGTACGTTGCGATAAGTTTGATCGATCAGTCAATAATAATTCGAGTGGATTAACGGAAATAGCAAGATTGCGGGTGAGATTATCGCGCCGATGCAAGCCAATTCTCTGAAAATATTGCGTCTCAAACTATCCAATCAAACAGATAGCATTAATAAAATATGGGGTTTAGGTATTTTTCGTATTTTTCGAAATATCTCACTCATCGCATGAAGAAAACGTTATAAAACTAACATCAGCATGTTTGAGAACGGCTCTTCTAGTCCTCTCATTGATTGGAGATTAAATCGTGTCTGAATGAACATCAATAAACCGCATTTTTTTCGCTTTACCGTAAAGCGTCGACTACCGACATGGCAAAAATAGCTAGAAAAAGAGCGAGGAACTGCAGGGAAGCACGCATTTTGGAGTGGAATGTTGGGGGCTCACTTTTAATTCTCCACCGCACGCTTTTACGAATATTTTATAGAAATTGAGGTCTATTTTTGGCATTCTTTATGGCTTTCCCAGCTACATTGTTATACGAGGATTCAACCAAATTTTTTGGGGCAGATCGACGGCAATTGTAAATTTTCATCTATTGCGAGCGAGGCAACAAGAAGAGAGCTGTTTTCTAGCCCATCATTTCGATTTTTCAGATGCTCCTAATTCAGTATATCGACCGCATCTTATCGAGCCGTTCCAGCTTTCTCCCCCGCAAGAAAATGGGCCGCCGAAAAAAGATAAGCCAGCGACGGGGCTTCGTTTGGCAAACTAATTTCACCTTTCTATCCTTCGCAACGCTTTCAATTCATACTTGAATAATTAATACATAATTTTTATACTTATTTTTTAGACAGTGACGTTGAGATGACAGCAACTGAAGGATCTGACCATCTGTTTGATGATATCGACTCGCCTCCTTTCTCGCTCCCATCCACACAATCCAATTTGGCTAAACCTGACGACAGTCGCTGCCTTGGTCGTGGTGGTTTCGGCGCTGTATATCGTGAATCGAGGGATGGAAGGTATGAACCTTCATAACAAGTAACTTGTGGTTAGAATATTGTCCAGGAAAAGGAACCCTTGAAGGTGTTCGGTTCATTCACTAAATTAGGGCCGTTTAATACAGCGTAGTTAGGGGCGTAGCTTGAATCAAGGTCGAACCTAGCCGCCCAGACGCTTGTTTCCGCAATTTTAAATTTTTTTGAGGATTGTGGCTGTCAAGCGACTTAAATATTCTCCTCATCCCACCCACCTCCGCCGTGAAATCGAAATTCTTGAAAGGCTTTGCCATCCTAATATTGTGGAATATATCAAATATGAAGAAGGCGATGGAGGGCAACCAGGAAACATTGTCACTGAATATTGCGAACGTGGAGACCTAAAAAAATGTGAGTACGGGATAATCCGATGTAGCCGTCTGTTGGAGGGTAAGGCAAAGTTTCTGGTGAAAAACATAGAACAAGAGATGCCGTAGGCAACATTTTGGCAGCGAGTTTGCTACAAAAAGGGTGCACTTCTCTCAAGGAAAGACTCCTCCAAAGCACCAGATGGTTTAAAGTTAAAAAATCATTTTACGGATTTTGACGGACCCAATATCCCCTTTTTGGATAACATTCTCTTTCCTTACTTTAGGAACTTGTATTTTTATTGTTGTTCTAGTCATAAACAACCCGAACCAAACCTATTCAATTTCTCTTGTGATCGATTGGGCATGTCAAATATTTGATGCATTGCTCTGCCTATACAGAAAGAGCATCTTCCATCGTGATATCAAACCATCAAAGTGAGTTGATCTACAAGAAGTACATGGAAATTCTCCAAGTTTAGTATGCTTCTTGGAGAAAAGTATCAACTAAAACTCTGCGACTTTGGCCTGTCAAAAGCGGAGCTTACAAATAATTCCTGGTAAGAATCCCTAGGACCCCTTTTTCCTAATATCAGGAATTTAGCTATGGAGTGCACGGTACCATTCGATACCTAGCACCAGAAGCGTTTACCGATCATAAAAATCAGCAAATCGTAGGTCAATTCCATTGTTCAAAAAGCTTTTAGTATACGTATGCAAGTGATCTCTATTCTGCCGGTTTGGTTCTCTGGGAATGTATCGAAAGACGGTAATAATAAAGTATACCTTTGGGGTCTGTTAGGTAAAGCCGAGGTTGGAGTTAGGAACTTCCGAATAGAGAGTTTTCCAGTTTAGAGCTTTATGAAAAAAACCCGATTTTCAGTGATGTCTTTCATGAAACTGTCGACCATCGGATGCTCCAGTCGCGTATTTGTTCGGGGAAGCCGTTAGAAAGAGCGAATTGTCTAGCCCCTGTCGCTGATTTGATAGAAAAGTTTGTTGACTAAATCTTTCCGTTATGAAAATTTACAATTAGATGTGCTCACCGTATGCCAGCGGATCGACCCAGTGCGGCGAAAGCACGCAAAGATGCAAGGCGCTTAAAAGGGGTTGATAGCCTTTTTGGTTTATCCACTCTATCATGAATCTCAGGCGCCGATTTATCGAATCTTCGACAAATGGCGGAATCATACTATAGCCGTCCCAGAAAATAAAGTACCATTGCCTGTCATCGGTAGATGGGGCGACGTGCCGGAAGAAGAAAAAGTAACTTTTTGAATATCGACGAGAGTGGTCGGATTATGCCATCTACATACAGGGTGTTTCGAAAGACACTTTGGCTTTTCACGGCGGCCATTATATAGTTGTAAAACCCGAACGGTAAGGACAAACATTATTTTAGGCACCCTGGTATACACGAAAATACCGTTGTACAAAATGTAGAAGTGATGGGCATCCAATCGAGGAAATGTTCCTGGAACATTCTAAATTGGAAAATGAACTGAAAAGAAAATGGAAAAGGGAATGGAGGCCTGATGTAGAGTTAGAGTTGTCTCGTCGCTACGTGAGTTTTGTCATATATTGCGGAAATAGCTAACCAGGCGAACTCGTTGATCGTATGCAGCAAGGGCTGTCAGAAGCTACAAGGTTCACAAGATCAGCCAATAACTCCATGGATTTCGTTGAAGGAAGCACAGGTTCTTGAAAGCATTAGTGGTTCTGAATCCTAATAGGTACTGATTTACACGAGCGTTATGCAGAAATGGATCTATGCGATAGTTCGACCACTTGCTGACCAACTGGCAAATTCCTTTCCGATGGAGATCACCGCAATTACGGCCGTTGGTTGCTGTGTTTTGTAAAGATTTAGCGTATTTCAGAAAGAACAGCGTCTAATGGGCGCAATAAGAGCTGCCGGTAACTGCGAAGAGTTCGAGATGGCTTTCAACAAACATCTCGACTTTTGTCTCAAATATCACAATTCTCTCGTCGATATTCAACGGCAAATGTACAGCGCTAGACTCAATCTTGAGGTCTGACAATGTACAGGGCCAACAAAAGGCTCGCGACATTTGCGACGCAGTATATATTTTTTAAAGTGCTATAAATTCTGCATGTCGTCGCAGATTTTGTTTTTAATTATTGTATTTATGTTCAAATTCAGCCGAACCGTAGTCTGAGCGTCCCTGAGGGCGTCAAGAAAGGTGGGCTGCCGCTCCACTCTTTCAAAAGCGAGGCGCCTGGGCGCTTCGCGCTCCTCGGGTGCCCCGATTTCGAAACCCTGTAAGAGCTCGCACCCATCCGAAGCCACTAGGCTCCGAGTGGCACGAAGCCTTTTTCTAGTCGCAGAGCGGAGGGAGTAGCGGTCACTTCCCTCCAAATTGGGTGACTTCTGTCGAACACCCGACTTTTTATAGTTTTTATCGCCAAATTCCAGACATGGCAAAACGGCCGTTCCGGGGCTGCTCTACGGCCGGGGCCGGCCAAGCGGCTTTTAATTTGCGTGCGAGCTGGCCGCGGCGGGCCGTTGCATGATAATACGGCCGGCCGTGCTTGTCTACGTAGCTTTCAAATCACGTAAATTTTTTACAACTTCTGTGCAGGCGAAGCTCAAAGGCAATCCATCGTTTTGAACATCGAAACGGAAAATCCTGAATTGCCAAAACTCGATTTCGAGAAAAATTTTTTCAGTATTATGAAAATTATTTTATTTAGCCCTTTCGACACTCGGCATGTCGGTATTTTTCGATGTTCTGTCGGTAGGAGCTATGCACTTTTGCTTTGGCCTTATTTCGCGGTGCGCAAGTCATTATAATGGTGCCATGATAAGGAGATCCGGCCGGCCTTGGTTAGATTCTTCAGCCGGCCGCGGCCGGCTGTATCCGGCCGGACCGGGCCGCGGCCGTGTACCATGTCAGCCAAATTCGGAAGCAGCGTATAAAATAACTCTCTAAACTATTTTTATCCAGCTAAAACTAAATAACCGCAAGTGTCGCGCCGCAACTGCCGCGGTACCCAACAAAAGGCAGTTTTCGGTCGAACAGTTCCTCGTGCATTTTTTGTGACAAGTAGTATGCTAGGCCTTCATTGTAGACGCACTTATAGCAAATGCTTGATGACGGCCAAATCGGGCACGAATCAGAAATTGATGCACAATCAGGTTCGCCATATCCATCATCATTTCATCCCTTTTAAGAACCCGAAATGCATAAGATATCCCCGATGTCAGACCTTGATTCTAATGAGGTAGCACTATTTCCTGGCTTATTTATTTTTCCTAAGATATGTGGGTTATTCACAACTAAAGTGCCGTTGTAGTATATAATTCAGCTCAAATCTTCTGATGAACTTCGGAAAATTGTCGACAAAATAGGAATTGGCAAAGAAGAGACAGTGGATGATATTGAGAAATGGATGAAGGAAGTGATCAAGGCTAAGCTACTTGTGAGTCGATATTTTCACATCTGTAGTTGCATGATTCTAGCCAGAAGAATTCACATCAGAACATGGATTTCGGCTGGAGTTCCGGTAATTTGGTAATTTATATTACAAAAGCCAAATCTTAGAGACATGCTTGATGAGTTGGGCTCAGAGCATGAATTTGAGAAGGGAAAAACGGATCTTCACGAACTGTATTGTGCCTTTATTCAGACGATAGGTATTGAATTGTCGTCTACAAAAACATAAAAGGAAATCAGATCACCGAGCGCCTCTATATACTTCCTTCTCTTCAGCCCAATCTAGTGACATCAGCCGGATGATGAATATCCTTCATTCTCCAATATTCCGCGTAAGATTTTACCTTTTTTAGGGTATTGAAAGTCAGTTTGTTAATTTATACTTTTCGGGGGTTTTTTTATTAGAATCATTTAAAGAATTTAGGAAGTGTTGTCGAGAACCAGCTGCTGGTTTGCACTCCTCAGCAATAAAGAATATCCATCCGAGGTATACCTTCTTACCCCTTTTTATATCCATCCGCCTTGCAGATGGATGTTTATGAATGGGTCGGTGTATGGAAAGACCTAACGTTGTGGGGTAAGTGCGTTATTTTTCTATTTGGTGGTGATAACATTTCTCATGGCTATTGCTTTGGGATGTTTGCAAAAACTGCCTTTCCAAATATTAATATAGTATGTCATTTGTCTTTTGGACTGCATTGAGTAATTTCTGAAGCGAAGCTTTTACGATACGTTCTGTAATATGACCAACAGGTAATCGAGCCATGAAGGATGGGATCAACTTCTCATCATTTGTCATTCGAATTATACAGGTAAATGATGAGAATAGACAACCAGATAATAATTCGTTTTAGAAACTTTTGAATGGAGGGACATCAGAGGGTGAGGGAAATGGCATCCACCATGGCCCCTGGGTATTCTGAATTCATCCAAATCTATTACATTTTTCTGTTCAGCATTTTCCATTTATCGGTGAGAAACAGAGGGCTTTTGAGGAGAAATATAATGTTCGAATTCTGCTCATTACATACGAAGGGAGGTAATCATTAAGCAGTTATATTTTCGAAAACAGCCATGCAAGTGTCTTGTTTATATTTACACAACATAAATATTTATCAATTTGTTTTAAAATGTTTTTAATCACAATCAATGTAAATCACAAACTATAAATAATAAATCTTGACAAATTCTCAAAATTGAAAGTTGTGGATTTTGACTTGGCCGGTGGATCGGCGGTTATTTTTAATTTACGATGAATGTTTTTAGGGAAGCGAGATGGTTCTGGATCTTCCCTAGCGACAAGGTACTGTATTTATCGATATCATTCAACATCAATTCCAGCCCGACGCAGCTCTAAGCCTTTGGTATGGTTCGTCTCGGTAGGACTGCATCTCCCTTCAGCTATAAGATGAAATTGCACAGATATTTCCGCGTTGCCATGGGTTCTTCCTCCAAGTGTCTAAAATATGAGCAAATGGAGGTCAGTCCCATTCATCGGGGGTAGCGGGCCACGCCCCGAAATCTTGCCGGTCTAAGGGCTAGGCAACGCGGCGCTCCTATCGACTCAAAAATGTATGGGGCTAAAACTTTGAAGGCTTATATCTTGAAAGATATGGCCGATCTTAAAAAACGCGAATTCCAGTCTTGTAGAAGGGAACATGGCGATTCTAATGATACTAAGCACTAACAAAACTGAATTTAGAAAGTATGCTAACGAAGGCGGTTTTGGTGGGCGACTTTGTGAAAAGTGGTATTTCGGAGGGCTAACCTGCTGTCTTTGGTATCATTCGAACCGTAAAATTTTACTCTGCAATAAAAGAATATTGGCTTTTCAATATTAAGTCGGTTTGGAAAGGTTATAAGAGCTTAAACCTTTTGACGCGCGCTACGCCCGGCTCCAATTGACGCTTTTGCCCCTCCCGGCAAATTGCCGTTTTTGGCCTGTTTGATTGGCCGTGGGGCGTAGCCCGCTAACCCCGTTTGGTTTGAGGTACCCCCCATACGACTCTTTTGGGGTCCTTTTCCGGATTTAAAAAAGAACCATGCATCGGATCGCAAAACTGAATACACCATCGGAACCGGCGCCACTTTTTGCATACTATAAGCTTTTAAAATTTGAAAAAAGTGGAATTTCGAATTTTAACAGCCGATTTAAATTGCGTTTCGAGGGAGGGGGTCTGCGTTTGTATGTGTGTGCGTACGCAAAACCTTTGTAGTCGTCAAAAAGTGCCTTCCCATTGTCCGTTTGGGCTGAAATTTTCCAGATATATCGACTTGATGTAAATGAAGGTGAGGATGAAGCGTTTTTTTAAAATAGGCTTTTAAAAAATTTATCTTAAATTTTTAAGTTTAAAAGCTAAATTGCGGCCAAAACAATAGTTAGTGATGTCCGTTTGGGATGAAACTTTGCTCAAATATGCATTAGACCATGCTGGAGTAAGTACAGAAAAAATTGCATCGAAAGAATGCTTCTTCTCTGAGATATTATAACTTTAAACCTTCGCCATACGGGGCGCCACCCTCCCCTTTCTCGGCCCCCTTTCCCCGGGTCAGCAGGGCGGGTCTAGGTCCCCGAGGGACCTGCAGTCTCTCGGTTGGCCTAGTGGTTAGCACGCTGTACTGGGAAGACTTGGCTCCCGAGTTCTTTTGGTTTTCGCAAAAAGAGATTAATTCTCGTGGCAACAAAAAGTGCGAAATTCCTTTCAAACTCTGAAAAATGCCACAAAATGTGGGATCAACCAAAAGTTGCTGCACCTTATTAAAAGGGACAGACTCGTTTTTAGCCGTTTCGGCTTATAAAAAAATTTCTGTATTATGATCCATTTTCTTGAAATTAATCTGTAGACCTGACCTGCAATCTAAAACAGTCCCAAGTTTATTAAGATTTTAATTAGCCAGCAGCTTTTTGTTGTTCCCACATTTTGTGGCATTTTTCAGAGTTTGAAAGGAATTTCGCACTTTTTGTTGCCACGAGAATTAATCTCTTTTTGCGAAAACCAAAAGCCCTTTTTTGAAAAGGCTCTTTTTAGCCTTAGAGAGATTTACAGCTATTTTCGACAGAATAATGGGACCACCATTCTAGTGGCATATGAAAAGTATTGGGTTGTAAAAGAAGTGGAAATTTCAGTTGGGAATCATTCCAAAAGATGAGAAATGGAAAGTGACATCGGAGAAGATTAATGAATCGACTTATAAAAGGACATGGACACCGGATGAAGAGGGGGAAGAGACGTGGATATGGACGGTTTGTCCGTTTCCATAAAATACTTGATTTTCCAGGCTAACTATCGACCAACCTTCGATGATATCAATTGTTTCGATTGTCTCAAGGGTCCTCTACCAGATATGTCTTATTGTAGCGAATTTACTGAAATGTGCTAATCGCAAAATTGTTGTCTATTTCTGTAAGATCGAAACCATTTTCCTGCAATTTTTAACGTTGCCCCAAAACGCCAAATTTTAATTTATACGCTTGCCAAACTAGATTTTTTTGCATTTTTCTTAACTTTTGTAGTTCGTTTCGATAGACGCAATTCAAAACGTATACATTTTTATACCCGCATTAAAATATACCCATAAAATTAACAACCAAGAAAATAGAAAAGAATCACTATCGACCGGTAATCTGGAGCACGTTTTAGCATGCCAAGACAAAATTCCATAAAGTGCCCATTTTTCGATTTCAGACTGTTTTCTGGGTGATTGTAAGAATTAGGAATTAGGATAGTTGGAAACAAAAATGCTCCAGTCCCAAAGTAGTTGGGCCCAAAAGTCGTAATAAGAATCCATCGTCGCTTTTTTGTATCTAAAAATATTTATTGGGTTACATAAATCAAACATGTGAAAGAAAGCGAAAACATAAAAATACATAGAGAGACCGAGAGAACGAGAGAACGAGAGATAGAGCGCAAAAACACTCAATACGGTGGCTGGTCATTGTCAGAAGCATCTGCAGGGTGAAGGGCCCACCATTGCATCTGATTTTGGTAAAGCACGGGCTCAGCGGGAGTTTCCGGCGCTTCTTCCTCAGAATTTTCAACATCCTGTGATGTTTCTGGGAATCGCTCATAGGCATTTTGAGAGAGGTGAAGGTCTAGTGAAGGTTGACTATCCGGAAAATCGAGATCTCTGACAAGCTTGATCCAGCTTTCAGAATCAAAAAAATTCGTCTTCCCAATGAGTCATGTCGGGAAAATGAGGCGTATTTGAAAGAAAAAAAACGTAGCGGTCGCGGGGTTGTCTGGTACGGTTGAGGGTGACCCGGCTGCCCGGTCACCTTTTAACCTCCCGTGGTTGTGGGCGGGGTCTTTTAACGACAGTGGAGAAGTCTGGGTCAAAGAAAAGAGGTTGTTTGTTTTGTGTTTGCCAAAGAGGGAAAATGAATCTTCAAAGTAATGATCTGCGAAGCGTGCCAGCAGGCTAACATTCTGGAGCGCTTCCCAGGCAAGACCGGCTACACCTCCACGACTTCTGCTCCCAACTCAACTGCCGCGACTTCGATGCCCAACCCAACTCATTAAAAAAACCAAAATCAATATCTCTGCATTTGATGATACAATTTCTTGAATAAATTTATTTATTTAAAAAACCGTTGCAATTGCACATCATCGAATAAACATACACTTCATTCACTTTATCAATCGTTGTATTTAGGATAGATTGGGAGGGACGGGAGCTCAGCGAAGGGGTTTCCTGAAAATCTTTGTATTATTTTTGCGGTATTAGTGTCATGACTTAGTCCCCCATTACACTATTGTAGGCAGCCCGTCTCTGGCACCTGACCTGCGTCGGCTCTCTGACCCTTCCTATCCTCTCTCCTCTCATTCTCCCTTGGTCTATCTGTCTAAGGCGCTTGCCCCAGGCATGCGGTTTTGCTCCGCAGCTATGAGCTACCGTAACCACCGAATGCTATCTCATCATTAGTTCCATCCTCATTTATCTACAAAAAAACATACGCATCCATTGGGAGCTGAGCAGCTCCTCCACGGTCCACCTGACGCTCACATGACCCAATGAGACTGATGATTATCTCTGAAACCACGTGTATCGTAGAATTGTGCGAAAGAGCTGTTGAGTCTGCTATCTAAAAAAGCCTACTATGGGCGTGCGGGTCCTGGACTTTTGGAAGGGAGGCTTGATCCACCAGCATGCGGTAGCCATCGTCGGCTCTGAGAAATTAAGTTATGAAATGCTATTGCGAAATTTCCGTACCTATTTAATTTGCCGTACGGCAGATCGGCTGTCCGTCTTCGAACTGATCTGCCGATATCATCTCAGTTAAAACGCTGCTGCCGGGGATCGGCGGGGCCACCGTAGGCGGGAGGCCCAGTGGCGTGGGGGCCCCATCGGGGCTCTCGGGCCCATAGCTGGTGGGTGGCCCATCGGGGGCATAGCTGGCGGGTACCCCGAGCGCCCACATGTCGGCTTTTTTTCCGTGGTACGGTTCCGATCCCACCTCCAGGGACATGAATCCATGCGTCCTGCAAAATTCGCTTGTTGTGCCGTCCTTGGTCACCTGTGCGAGCCCCGTGTCGCAAATACGGACAACGTCTAAAAAAGGAAAATATATTTACTAGTCTAGTCTTTGGTAGGCAATTTAATATAGCATTACTTACCGTTGAACCCGTCCACGAGAACATTCTCGGGCTTCACACCCAAGTGAACGATATTCATGTCGTGCATGGCCTTCAAGCCCTTGCTCACCTGCGACATATGAACACTAGCTCATCCATGTTTAGGCCGCCCCATCCGTCTATAGAAAACAGGTTAACCCATTTCAGTTTTACCAGCTTACACTGAAAATGTGAGAGGTCTCGCCTTTCGATAAAGTCCATGTAAGCCAGATAGGAGTCAAGTTGATCGATATAACGGATCTCTTCAAAATAATTTCCTTATTATAAAGTTTTTTTAAATAACTGACCCTGGATCGTGACTACATACTTGTCAGCTCCGCTGTTGCGGAGGAGTTCGGCGAGCTCCATCTAGAATCAGAATGTATTAGCTAGTTGTCGAAAATTACCTCATCTATGAGGCCGGTGATCTGTCGCTCCCGATAATCATCGTCGCCGTCAAGCGCCACTCGCTTGACGGCGATGGTCTCCCCCTGCCCTGTCCCGGCTGCCAAGCATAGACCTCGCCTTGTCCACCTAAATTTCAAGGTTATAGGCAGGCAGATCTAGCTTACCCTTAGCGGCAAAGCGGATGCCCTCGCGGGCTTCATAGTCGTTGGCCGTAAGCAAAAACGCATCAATAGGGAAGGCGCCAAAGCTTCCCGACAATTTACACATTTCGTTTCTGAAGAATAGAAAAATCCTATCCTATAAGCGAGAAAAGTATGTTTGTTTTCTGTGCTGACGATTTCTCGGCCGTCAGGCCGAATTTCAGGCTGATTTTTGGCATGGAGGTGGAGAAACACGTTCTCTTTATAAGGTTTTTTAGTTTTTCGAAATCCTTTCATTTAACGATTTTACAAGCGAAATAGTGCAAAACCCTTAACATTTTGGCCGCAAAAAAGGTTTGTTCAGAGGCTATCTCGATTGCCCGACGGAGTTAGACTCTGATTTTTGGTGGGTCGATGGATAAGGCAAATATCTCGATACCATTTTTGGGATTTTTGTTAATCATTTAAAATAAGGTTTTTATAAGCATTTTTCTAAAAATTCCTTAACAAAATGGCCAAAGTGCCGTGGTGTCCGGGCCATAACTCGAAGCCCAGATGGAATTTCGGGCTGTAATTTGGGGCACTTATGTAATCGATGGTGGGGATCACGCGCAACTTATTATTTTGACAAATTTTTGGCAGTTTCAGACCAAAAAAGCGAATTTTGTAAAGTGACCGGAAGGCCTCCCAGCTCTCATTTCGCTAACGCTGCCCGGGGCGGAGCCGCCCCCAGGACACAAGAGGCCTTTGCCGCCCCCCGTTCCATATGACCCGCGGTGTAGGGGATTGGGGCGGGTTCCACCATGCGCATGCTCGGGGGTTCGGATCCTCGGCCAGTCTAGCTTTTTGCTTTTTGGTAGTTCAGCAACAAAACATTTTTTTAGGCTCACGGGTGCGAGGTTTAGGCCTGGCTCTCGCTCTAGCGCCGCAGGCCAAAGAAAAGGCCCTTGACCCAGGCTCCGCCGCCGGCCAAGGATGGGTTCTGGACCCAGGCTCTCGCGCCGCCGGCCAAGGATGGGTCCTGGACCCAGGCTCTCGCGCCGCAGGCCAAGGATGGGTCCTGGACCCAGGCTCTCGCGCCGCAGGCCAAGGATGGGTCCTGGACCCAGGCTCTCGCGCCGCAGGCCAAGGATTGGTCCTGGACCCAGGCTCTCGCGCCGCAGGCCAGATCCCAGGAGAGAAAAACCAGTAACTAGCGCCGCAGGCTCAAGGATTCTAGCGGAACGCTGGCTCTTGCGCCGCAGGCCAAAAAATGGCTCCTTGACTCAGGTTCATGCGTCGCAGGTTAAAAAAGAAGGTATTGAAATTCATGGTCCCTGGACGGTGTCCAGTGGAAATGGGTCGCGAAGCGGTCTTTTTCCACTGGTTGAAAAATAAGCTGGAAGCTAAAGGAAAAAACTGCCTGATGCTGCCGAACGAATGGCAAGTGGATTGCCGAATGTAGGTGAAGAAGCTTCATCCGATCACTGAAGCTGCGCTGCGCCCATCGTTGATTAATTACCGGTATTCCCTCATAACGCTCATTAGTCAAAGGCGCCTTGGTCTCATCCCCTATCCCTTGATATTTACTTGATCCCGTAGTAATCGATGGCATCGCGGATCATGCGGGCTCCTGGACCTCCCTTCTTCATAGCATCGTTCAGCCTCGGGTAGACCTTGATCCTAAAAATCATGGATTTGCTTGATGATGAAATTGAGCATCAAAAAATATATTTATAAAATCATACCTGAATCCCAACTCTTCCCTGTGTGCGGATGTATAGTGGGACCCTTCTTTGAGGAGGTCGGGGTGCCGGGGGAGGTGCAGAGGTGGCCGACCCAAAGAAGTCATCCCACCCTTTCATTAGGGCCTCCGGTTCGATATTCTCGACCCCTTCCGCATCCGCCTCCACGCCGGGCTCCGCCACGGGCTCCGCCCGTCGCATCGGCTGCGGGCACGGCCTCCGCCTCCACCGCATCGGCTGCGGTCACAGCCAGCTCGGGCTTCGCCACGGGAGGCCCTGTGGGGTCCCGATCCGCGATGAGCGGCTTCATATCCATCGCCGGCTCCGGCACCTCCTCCGTCTGCGCCTCCACCGCAGACTCCGACACGGGAGGCCCTGTGGGGTCCCGATCCGCGATGAGCGGCTTCATCTCCACCGCCTCCACCGCCTCCTCCGCAGGCAGGTCTGCCAAGACACTGCTGCCGGTGACCGGCGATGGTGGCGCAGGCTGGGGAACCAGAGGCGTCGGTGATCTCGGGGCTCTCGGGCCCATGGCTTGCTGGGGCACCGCAGGCGGGGGGCCCCGGTGGCGTCGGGGGCCCCATCGGGTGCGGATGGCCCATGGCTGGTGGGCCCAGGGCTGGCGGATGGCCCATCGGGGCACTCGGGAATACTGAAAACTGAAACACTGAAAATACTCTCATTCAAAGAAATCTTTTGAAGCAAGGGTGCGAAAAAAAAAGGCTATCGATCGCATGAAACTCAAGGTGAAATGCGACTAGTTATGACTAAAGGAATTTCAGTGTTCTATATTTGATGATCCAAGGTTAAAGGTGCAGTCCGCTTTTGAATTGGCTAAGATCTTAGACAAATTGTGTTTTAGAATGCCACGTTACGGTATGTGCTAAAAGTGGGACACAAACCGAACCCGGAACAAAGGTTTTACCTTTTGTTTTTACCCATTAGAAGCGTGCCCATCGGATGCGGTGGGGGCCATTGCCGGCGGTGGGGCCATCCGCGGGCGGCCCAGCGGCGGGGGGCCCCACCGGGCCACCCCGGCTCCTTGTTGAGCTTTTCTGAAAACAGCGTCATTCAGATAAATATTTTGAAGCATAATGGGAAAAAGTTCATCGACCGGTCGAAACTGTGTTTAAATTCTACTGACAGATTTTTCCTCAGTAATTTCTCAGGGCCCTATAACAAAATCTAGACATTTTTATACCATTTTAAACGGTTGTTAGAGATAAAAAATTTATGGAAAATTATAAAATTTTACGGAAATTTTGACTTTTGGTCAAAAAGATCTGAAAAATGAAGGTCAATGGTTAATAATTTTATACTTTAAAAATATTTTTATAACGGCTATCAAGCAAAAAACGTTAAAAACACTATTAAATTTAATATAGAGTATTAACAACGGGTGGGCTTTGGCTGCAAGTTAAAAGTTAGTCTTCCCCCGCTCAAAACCCCTACCCCTGCTAATAGTTCAGTACCGACAATTCACGTAAATTTTTCAAACTAAAACCTGTTTTATATGAATTGACAGGGTCTTTCCGGTCCTTGTAAAACTATCAAGCTAGATACATCAATCAAGAAAGAATCCGAGAAAAGGCTAATGTTGACTTCATTACCCAAATCAATGTATAAAAATCGTAATAAATGCCGCTGTTAGGCAAAAATGTGGCAATGTAACCGTGGGAGTGATTCGCAGAAAAAAATAGGCGGAGTATGCGCGCCAGAAGTCAATTTTTGTCAATCTTCTTGACAAGGATCCCACGTTTACAGCCACCCCTACATCATGCTCATTCCCCACGGCAAACCTCGCATCGAATGTTTTACAAGCTCCCGATCCCTTCAAATCAAGGGCCATAAAAACATCTGGCAAACCTGGAGTATTTTTAGCCCACAAAACTGTTGACTAAATTTAAAAAATTAATACATCAAAAATAGCTTTAAAATCAGAAAATTTTAATAAAACTTCAAGTGTTTTGGGTGATATTTCCGGCAGAAAAATTACCCAAAAACCCCAAAAACTTTTTAAAAATTTAGAAAAAGGCTACTTTGAGTCAAAAACTATTATTTTGTAATTTTTAATGACGGATGGCAAAGTTTTTAAGTTAGTTAGGTAGTTAGAATAGTCAAAAAGGCGTAGAAACACTTTCTGTGGTAAAATTCTGATTTAAATTTGACGAAAATTCTTCGATTCTACCTACCAGTTTTTTTCAAGGAATTCGTTCAAATCCAACACAATGTAAAAAGTGCATACATTTTGCTCCGTTATCCAGTTTTCGACCTTAGCCGGTGTGCCTTGTTCATTTCTGAAAATAATCCATTAAACTAAGGTTTTTATCGATTCGGAGGCTATAATCGGAACGGGCACGGAATTGCACAGCGTTAGTCCAGGGTTGCTATGGCGCGCCCCAGCGACAGTACCCCAGCCGAGCCTTTTCGGGGTCTCTTCCTCTCATCTTTCAACGCGTAATTGGACACAAAACCCAAGGAAACCGAGAATAGATGAAAAAATAAAACTAATTGATTGTATGAAGAAAATTTGGGAGGTTTAGATCTTGATACTGACTGTTTTGCTGCCTTTCATACTCATAAGGTTGAAATTTGCACACAATGGCGCAAGTGCCGGGTTATTTTGACGACCATTTTTCTTTTATAGGAGAATGGAGCTAGTCGGGGCCGTAATATCTGCATTATTCACCGTTTTGAGCACAGATTCTTTCATTTAATCGTGAAATCATTTCGTTAATACATAAAATTGATTTCACTGACTTCATTGAACGTTCCAGAAGCCATTATAGTGCAGCATCGCTTGTCGGAGCCTAGTTTCTGATGTTTCTGGGCGTTATCATTCGTTCTTAGCTATTTAACACATGGTTTTTCGAAGGTAGTATGGCTTTTATCATTAAGTTATGTTCAAAGCCTGCTATTGTGGTGTGCTATTAGCTCCAAAACTGTCAACTGTATAAATGAAAAAAAGAAGCTGAAGCTTGAAAGTAGAAGCTTACTAGGCGTTTTGCTGAAATTACTTGACTTTTAATTGAAGAATAGGCTTAGCTTGGCTTTAATCTGTTTAACTGGCGTACGTGCAGCGGACATTAGCTTTAATATACCGCTCGTCTCAAAAAACAGGTTAGTTGACGAGCTTCGCGTAAAGCCCACATAAGGTGGGTTAAGCAAGGCTTACAATTTGTCATACTTAAGCAGGGCTCAAGCTAGCTTAGCTTTTACATAAACTTACAGCTTAAGCATCGTTTGAGGTTTCTTGCGTTAAAAAATTTGCCTTCCTCGCATCGGAAAACGGCATCGACATCGCTAAAATTCCGACGGAACCAGTGTAGTAATTATTACAAAGTTAATTTACACATCCATATTATCAAGTTGGAAAGCCGGCTGGATTTGCCTGATGAGCTAGACATTGCTTGGCTACTAAAAACGTTGCTGCTCTACTGTGCTCATGAAGTCAAGATGAAAAGCCTGAAACAAATGCGCAGAATCAGCTAGTATGTCATAAACGCACCAATAAAATAGCGAGAGATTAAGTCTAACTCTTGCTCAAAGCAAAGCCGCCTAACCTTGTAGTCGGTCGCGTAGCTAACCCTGTTGCTATTCAGATAGATCGTCTCATTCAGCTATGGAGCGTCATCTTTTTGGATATAACTGAAACAAGGATCCGTCAATTAAAAGCTGAATGTGAATAATAGTCAGAAGTTAATTGCTATACGCACGCGACGTTGTTTTTTTGTGGGCTCTGGCAAAAAAAGAAAAATGGTCGTCAAAATAACCCGGCACTTGCGCCATTGTGTGCAAATTTCAACCTTATGAGTATGAAAGGCAGCAAAACAGTCAGTATCAAGATCTAAACCTCCCAAATTTTCTTCATACAATCAATTAGTTTTATCTTTTCATCTATTCTCGGTTTCCTTGGGTTTTGTGTCCAATTACGCGTTGAAAGATGAGAGGAAGAGACCCCGAAAAGGCTCGGCTGGGGTACTGTCGCTGGGGCGCGCCATAGCAACCCTGGACTAACGCTGTGCAATTCCGTGCCCGTATAATCGGAATTGTTTCTTGAAAACAAACCTTATTATGCTATACGCGTTGTCGATACAGTTTAATCCATTGTCATTCATAGTTTAAACCATTTCTAAAAAATTCCTTTAATTAAATGTTTTTGATTTATAAGGGCGAAAATTTGAATTTTGGATGAGAAACCAACTTTATGATGCTCTATACATTATTCAGAGAGACGAGTGCAGAAATTACACTCGAATGGGCGGTCTTTTTTAAGAAACCGCTGGCGTTTGGAGAAATCGCCCAAGCGGAGGCCGTGGAAACCTGAAATTTAAGAAAATTAATCATGGGAAGAGTGGAGTTTTAGAAGGTAATCAATAATTACATGAAATACGGTAATAAAGTGGGAAATCAAAGTCTATGGTTTACTTTACCCCACCCCCACCCCGAGGGTCCCTAAAGTTTTGGGATTTCCGCTATTTTCCGGAATGTTGGCTGCATTCGATAGAGCGTCAAAACTGATACTTAGAGTGTTAATCGCAACCCAAAAAGATTGGAAGATAAAATAACGTAGGGTCCCATAAGCCAGGTTTCGATATTTTCGCTATTTTTCGGCATTTTGGATAGGCCAATTCGATAGAGCATGAAAAGCAGTGACAAATCAATGATTAAATACCGTATTTCTTTTCTTCTAATATGGTCCCGGTGTTTTAATTTTTGAATGACGCCAGGCATGGGGTTGTATTAGACGAAATAAGCCATTTTCACGATTTTGAGCTTTTTAAAAAGTTTTTTTTTAGCAGTCCGAACTGCTTACAACTTATTCAGAGCACCACAAAACGCATAAACAGAAACTTTTTCAAAAACTTGAAATGCTACTTAAAAACTTTTTGGGATTCTATCAGAGGAAATAGGGTAAGTAAGATTTAACGGGTCTTTTCGATGGGTCTAGAGAGGGATTCTCGGCATACTGATGAGAGGCTGAACCGGATTGGCGCGCTTTCGGCGGAAAGGTGTGCCGTCTGCGCATCTGCCAAGGCACGCCCCGACCGGAAATTATAACATTTTACAGCACTAATTCTTAATACTACCAGACAGGTATGATCTA